GGGCTATATTTGGGGTGGCGTGTTTTTCAGCGCTTTGCCAACAGCGCCAACCCACTGAAGTCTAGATGGGTGGGGGAGGGACAAAACTTATGGAAACGTCCCTAAAATATTGAAAACAATGACGCCCCTACATGGCACAGAGAACATTCGTCAACACCCAAGTGGTTATGACCCTCGTGGCCTCTAGTGTTTCCATTCGCCTACCGTCGCGCATGTGTATCGATCATGCTTCACCAAGCGTATATCTCTGATGTGCTCCTGTGGCGCTGGTTTCGCAGCGTGTGCTTCGATGAACAACATCTTTGCCTTAGAAGATGGCACGCTGCTCCGCGCACTCTTCTAGCAACCGAAATGGGACGTCAGTGCCACATCCATCTAGAACTCTCCATTGCGTCTTTTGTGCGTGTACGAGCGCGGAATCTTCGGGAAATTTGAACCGATGGCCCCTATTGCTCGCTAAAAAACAGCTGGAAGAGCCGCTGTATGTGGGGGTGACCCGGTTTAGCGGTGTCTATGGCCGCTAAACCGAGGTGAAGGGGTGTCACGAGATTTTGGGTTGGCCCAAACGAGGCATTTCGCTAATAAGGGGGGCGCTCAACCCGGCCCCCCACTGTATTGCTGTACACCAGAGGAACCATTAGCCTCGTCGAAACTGCTACATCAATAATCGGGCATCTCCGGTATATGTCCCCGCCTCAGGGTAGGTGCCTCAGCTGAAAACCCGGGGACCTCTGCTACGTGTGCCCGCCCCCCCCTCCACCCCCGCAGCCCCAGAATTGGATTCGTGGGCCCATGTGCCTTGAATTTGTTTTCGTGTGTACCCTTTCCCCATTGTGTACTTGTTGCCTCGGAGTACCTGCGGGCCACACACGCGCGCTCTAACAACTGTTCCGTTTTCCATGCCTGAATGCTGTTGCATGTGGTATAGGGTAGGAGACGACATGGAACAGGAAACAAGGGATTCCGAGGACCCTATTCCCTCTTCTGTGGCAAACACCGTTTCGTACTCAGCTATCTCTTCTCTGTCGTGGAACACCCTGTGCGGTGCCCTTGTCCACTGGTTATTTCGGCAATATGCAATTCTGATACGGCTGCTCCACGAGGTGGCAGGAAGCATCAGCGTGACAAGCTTGCATGTACCATAGACCGTTCTGTGACAATCTCACCGTCCGTCCTCTCATCTCATCTCGTGTCATTGCCGTCTTTCCTGTGCGCGCCGGGTTGCAGTTAATGAATGCCTGGACTCCAACGACGCCAACGCATGTCAGATTTCTGCTGATGGAAGCCTGTGAGCCTCCACCAGCTATTTTGTTTTGCTTGTCAAAAAACCCAACCATATTTGCTGGTGACTGATAGGGTAACCGTTCTTACTCGGCGTGGCTCGTTGCAGAACGATTGGATTAGCTTCCGGGGTAAATTTTTGCAATTTCTTTGTTCAAGGTTGCTCCACGATAGGCGGTATTGAAGTCTAACGTCCGATTCCCGTTGGTTCGCAAAACATTTGGCAGTTCTTGAGGGAAATTGGTAAAGCTATTCATTCACGCAAATTCGCGCGCTACCGTGGAACGACGTCGACGCACCTCAAATAGAGCAGGGCTTGACCCGCGATTCGGTGTGTGCGATCTTGTCCCAGGAATCTTGGCTTTTGCGGCATATAACAGATGCCGATCTCGGCCACCTAGCGTCTTGCCGGACCAGAAACAATCACAACCCTGCAAGTGCAACAATGTTCCATGGCTTATGATATGAGTCGCTGAGCCTTGGCCATGTGCTTGGCACATTTGTTCGAATGTGGCCTCGGCAAGGTGCTGAACTGATACCCCCTTCTGAGTCGGCACGAAGTGAGCGATACATTCGAGCTACGAGGTACATTATTCTCACCTGGCAAAACCTGCGATACACCAATCGTGTCTTGGAACCATTCAGGCTCCAACGAGCGCGCCGGAAAGCAGTTGATAGGAATTTCGGTGTAGAACAGGTGGGGGTGCCCCCGAGGCCAGCTCTATCCTGCGCACCGTAGTCCCGCTGCGGTGGTCGTGTCTACCCCCAGCCGCTGCACCGTATCGAAGGTTGCGCCGGGGTGATCGTCAAAAACACGATTCGAACAATTTTGATTTTGAGGATCGGTTTGTTTGGGCATTTGCATGCACGCCCATCGGATGAATGCTGTTGTTGAATAGAGAGAACGAGGGGATCTCGGCGAGGCTAGAACTGCGAGTACCCAGCATCACGTAACGGAATAGACTGTCGTTTCCTGGAATTGGTGGTGGATCTTTCAGATTGTGGTGCCGTCACTGGCCTCATATTTCACTCTCGTATCCGATCCGTGGTGTACGCAACGCAACCCTGGAACGGGTTACGATCGCCAACTCAGTCACCGCAGCTGTAGCGGGAAACAAGGCACGATTGGGATGGTTGCACCCAGGCCATCGCGCGACGGCGTAGAGTCCGTGGCTTTCCACAGGGCATCGTCCGTGCATGCTGATGGTCTGGCCGCGTCTCGTAGACTACCATGTGCGGCAGCAAGCTCAGCTCACGCCGGCAAAGGCGAAGATAGCGATGACGAGCCCTCGCCTGCAGGTGGTGCAGGCCTCTGGGACCCGTCTCAAGGTATGGCAGGCTATAAACGTATGGGTATGGCACGTTCTTTCACTATGTTGTTGGTACGTTGTTTTGTTGGTACATTTCTCATCCGTGTGCTCCGATCTTCTGACCCTCGCGCACCTGGGTTCGACTCACTTGCACAGGCGAGATCGTGACCCTTGAAGAAGAGATTAAGAACATTTAATAGAGTTTCTCAACCTCGAAGACGGGACCGGCAACTTTGGGGAGAAAACCATGGACAACGCAGTGGCGATGTTGATGGCGAAGACCGGACGCGGCTTCAGCCTAAAGAGAGAGAACAAAACGAAGGTGACGTTGCAAGTTTCCATGAGTTGGTGTGTGGGAAAATTGCCTGTTGGCTCGGCTTTTCGTCTCGTCCACCGTAATCGCCGTATGATTAGCGACATGTGCGCACGCCCTCTCATGTTGGACATCCGACGGCTGCTTACATCTGAATGTGCTGTCCCCCCCCCCCTCCCACCTTTCACGAATAAGCAGAAGAAGACCTCCCCCATGCGAAACAGATGGAGCTCCGTATAGATCAAGTGCTGCCAGGGGGAGAAGCCGAGAGCGTGTCAACGTGTCGCGGATCCAAGCGCTCGCCACAGCACAAAGTCACAGAATGTTTGTTGTTGTTGTTGTTGTTGCTGTTGTTGTTGTTTCTCACACTAGCTCTATAGTCCACAAAAAATGGGGAGCCCGTGGTCTCAAAACCGGGCACACGCGACGCCGCGGGAAAACAAAACGAAAATAGGGTACAAACCACTCGGAAAAAGATAACAAAATGATAGAAAATAACAGGTATCGCACCGACCGTTCAAGAAAAGAGCCCTCGGAAACCGATCAAAATAAAACAAAAACAAAAATGAAGGAGGACGCTTCCCACACCCGCCTAAAGAAAAAATCAAAGGGTAACGTACCAGCATCAGGCACTACGCACCAGGGCATGGGAGTAACGGAGCAAACAGGACAAAGAGGCGGCAGATGGGCAGACAGCCAGATGTACAACAAACAAAAGCAACAGCAGAAGCGAGATCAAGGTACCCAACACAGCAGAGTAGGCAGGGAGGTCATGAGTAAAAGAATCACAGCACAGAGGCCGAAGGCAATACAAACGACATACATAAAGGAGTATAGCATACAGTAGGATGGAAACAGGGCGCAACAACATCAGCCGGGTACATAGTTCGCCACAAGTGCTGCCTCGGCCGCCCTACTGGCTTCTACAGCAGTGCCCGGTCGCCGTTTCTTCCCCCCCACCGCCGCTTCCCCGACTCTCTTTCTCTTCGG